CGGCCCAGCCGGTTCGGGCCCGGTCCGGGCCAATTTTTTTTTTCTTTTTTTTTCTTTTTTTTAAGATTTTGGGTTGGGCTGGGTGTGATGGGCCATTTGAGGTGATTTGGGGTGGTTTGGGGGTGAGGGGGGAGGGTTAGGGGTTAATTAGGAAAAACCAAAAAAAAAAAAAAAAGAACCAATGCCCGGCCCGGACCCGGGCCGGTTCGGGGCCTCCCCTTTCATGAACCGAGGCCCAGCCGGGCCTAGGCCTGAACTGGGCCCGAACCGTAACCGGTCCACCCCTAGTAAGGAGTATGAGTGATGAGTAAGGTAATTAAGTTGTGAATGTGTAGCTTGGACGGCGATTGTATTTCGCTCATTTAGAGTGTTATTATCCCTCAAGTATCTCACTTATGTCAAAATTACTTTGAAGTTCAATCAATCTGAGAAGTCCTATTTATTATGATCTCCTTTCTCAATTCGTAAGAGACCGTCCATTTTGCATTTTTGCTTGTAGAAATTAGAATGTGTTGAAAGCTTCCCGAATTCACTCTATTTAAAGATAGCCATGAACCTATTAGAAATTTCGAAAGGATTTTTAGGTTGTTGATTTAGTTCTTCATATGTGTGTCTATATGTTGGTGCGAATTGTAAATATTAATATAGTGAATTTTAAAACATAATATAATTCTTTGTCAAATTTTAACTATTTTATAAAAAAAAAACTTGTGGACTCCATTTATAAAGTTGGTAACATTCTTCTAAAATCCTAGTGCTTTTTATTTACATAAAAAATTGTAGCAATCTTCCTTTAGTTTCCAGGAACTATAAATCATGTACACCTCACACTTATTTTAGTACAAAAACAAAAGGCCTTTTGATCTGGATATTACTAAAAAAAGATAAAATACGAAAATGTGTCATCTTTTTCAAAATTCAAAAAATGTGACATAATATCACAATTAAACTCTAATGCAAAGTGATCCCTGTCAAAGTGACTTCGCCGCCATAGTGACCCGCCGCCATAGTGACTCACTGCCACAGTGACTCCACCACCACCATAGTGACTCCGTCGCCACAATGGCTCCACCGACACAGTGACTCGAGCTACCGTGATTTCCCGTCTACTGGCCACAGTGACTACCCACCCACCGACCACAGTGACCCCCGGCCCACCGGCTACAGTACCTCGGCCATAGACACGCCATATGATGCCACCACCACCACAACCCCCCGCCCACCGCCCCAGCCCTGACTCAACTCCCCATTCCCCCAGCCACCTCCCCAGCCCCCATCCACATCCACAACCCCCTCCTAGCCCTTAGCCACCTCCCCACCCCCCTCCCAACCCTCAACCACCTCCCTAACCCCCTCCTAGCCTCCAACCGCCTCAATCCCTTCCTCTGCACTTCCATCTCCCCTTCCAGTCTCCCCCTGAACCCGTCACGCCCCTTCCCTCACCAGACAATCCATAGTTATTGCGCCGCTGCAGTCCCCAATCTGCTATTAAGGTTCCATCAATGATGGCGACGGCCGTTCAACTCCCATCCCCTCCCCATCGCACGGACAGATTGAGAAGAAATAGGAATTCGTAGATCGGCTCAGGGCAGCGTAGACAAGGGCGGCGGATCCAAGTTGGCGGCGTCGAGCTTGAAGGAGAGCAGCAGCAAAGTAGCGCAAATGTGAGATTAAGTTAGGAAGACTGCGTAGAAGTTAAGCGGATGGGGGCCGAATGAATCAGGTTTCAATTTTTAAATCATTTTTTTCCAATCAGATATTAGTCATATTTTTGGAATTGAAAAGTGTAGGAGTAATATTCAGGTCATTTTTTCAAAACAAAAATTCATTTTTAATCACACCTTTTTTGAAGTATTTAAATTATTTTCCCTAAAAAGAAGAGTTTTTTTCGAATTAATACTAATTAATTAATTATTTACGAAAATAATGTTGGGTTAAAAGTATTTACCGATCTACTGCTGGGTTTAACCATGGTCGGAGTAAGTCGCCAAACGGTTGGGCGACTTATAAGTCGCCATCCGGTTTGGTGACTTATAAGTCGCCCAATCGTTTGGTGACTTACCTATTAAATAACCAGACGGGTCGGTTTTGTTAGACAGAACGCACACCACCCCCAAATCCCCCAAAAGTGCAGCGACGAAGGACGAACGACGAGCGGACGAGAGCCACTCCAACTCCGGCGAACCTCCATCTCCGGCGAAGCCACCTTGCCAAGGACTCTCCACCTCCATCTTCTTCAATACTCTTTCTTCTAGGTAAATCAAAGTCAATTTTCTTCTCATATTAAAGTTAGGGTTTTTAGAATCTAAAATTTTCGAATTTTTAGATTATGAATTCATTTGTTGTGAAATGTGGATATGTATGACATGTTGAGTTTTAATGTTGAATTAAATGTAATATTTTGGCATTGTTAGGTGTATACTCATCCTATAAGATTTGCTTAAATATGATAGTTTTTAATATGTTCTTATGTGTATGAGATGATTAATTTGGGTGTATAAAGTGTGTATATTAATGTGTACTCATGAAAGTTTGACATGTATTGTTATTAGAATATGGATTTCTCCAACTTCCCAATCGCGTGTCATTGGGGAGGGAACTATTATGAGGATGCTGACCAAATACGCCATGAAGGTGGTAGAAGCAGCTTTGTCATTGTTTCTCGTGACGCATGTTTGCTCGAGATGCTTCAAAAATACATGTTGCTACAATGATTCCTCCGAGCCGTTCTTTGCGATTGAAAATGAAATTTCCCCTTAACGGGGGAAATTTCATGCTTATGCCACTTGTTGATGAGCTAGTTGTCACAAATATGTGGTCGCTAATTCAGATGGAGAGTATGTCCTCGCTGGAGATTTACATTGAAGAATCCATAGGTGACTCTTCTACAGCTCCATCAAACATCAAATGTTGTTGTATCTAGGCATGATGTGAATGCAGGGAACTCCTCAAATGGTTCTGTACTGGACATGGTTATAGAGGAAGAGGGTAGGTATTTGCACAATGGTGCATCATTTGTGGATGGGCAGGGAAGTGATGATGATGCTGTTGATAACATCAACGGTGATGACATGGCAGAATCTGATGAAGATGATGGTGATACCGTCACGACAACTGTCCTGTCTAACAACTTTACTATAATATATGATCTACGTGAAGGCTTTACCGATGTGTGGATGAGTGGAGGAGGTATGAAAAGGTTTACACCTGAAGGTGAGTTTGAGGTTGGTCAACAGTTTGACAACAAAGAACAAGTCATCAATATGGTGAGCTTGTATTCTATTAAACGGAACTAATTTTATCGAGTGTTGGAGTCCGATAAACACAAATGGGTTGCAGAGTGCAAGAAGAAGAAGGAATGTGATTGCCCCTCGAGAATACGCGCCACAAAGGACAAAGGCAACCTCGACAGCTTCACAGTTGTGTGTTATCATGGACCTCATTCTGCTACCTGTGTTGGCAACACCGACAGTACCGATCACGTGGCGATTACTTCTGATTTCATTGCTAAAGATGTGATTGACATTCTTCACACTGATCCTTGCCTTAAAGTGCATACTATCATTGAGCTGCATACAGGAGAACATGGATGGGCAAACAGAAGGCCATTGCAGAAATTTTTGGCAGTTGGGAGAAGTCATATTCTGAATTGCCCCATTTCATGACAGCGCTCCAACATTTCAATCATGGAACTGTTGTTCACTGGTACCCACCCCCTATTACTCCAACAGGTTATATGCAGTTTCAGAGAGTATTTTGGGCATTCAAGCCTTCAATACATGGTTTTAAGCATTGTCGACTCGTACTTACTATTGATGGCACACACTTGTATGAGAAGTACAAGGGTACATTGCTCGTGGCTATGAATAGTGATGCGAACAACCAAATATTTCCCGTGGCATTTGAAGTTGTTAAATTTGAGAATGGGGAGAGTTGGCCATGATTTATGGCATGCATTGGGGAGTTTGTCACTGATAGGGAGCTGTGTGTCATTTCTGATCGACATGCAGGTATAGTGAAGACAATGAATGAGGTGGACAGTACTTGGGAGGAGCCTTATGCGCACCATAGGCTATGTATCTGCCATCTTGCATCAAATGTGCACACTCATTTCAAAGACACTCACCTAAAAAATCTGTTTGTCTGGACCGCACGACAACATCAGAAAAAGAAGTTTGACGGTGGGTTAAAGAAGATAGGGGAAATGCGGGTGGAGGCGCGACAATTTATGGGGATCATTCCCTTGGAAATGTGGTCATTACACCACGACTACGGTCATCTTATACATATGCCCCCATCTCAGGATATGCATCGACATCTAGTGCAGCAGCGACTTCATCATCCCAGACTCAGCATGAGAGAGTGGTTCTTCAACCACGCCAACGGCGTAGGCGTAGGCAGCAACAACAACATCTCCATGACCAAGATGATCAAGAAGACCATGAGAACTTGTAGTTTGTCTTTTGTATTGGAGTTTTTCTTGCACACTAGATGTTGCAGGAAGAATTGACTTTATTTTACGTATTTCCACTTGTAAACTCTTTTATGATGTGTTGATGTGTTCGATTGTGAATATTAGATGACTAGTGTGCTATGAATATTGGATTATTGTACTGTGTTTTACTGGTTATGAATCTACTAGTTTGTATCTTATTTGTGAAGGGTATGTATGCGGTGTTTTGTATGTTGTTTAGAGAAGGTGTTATGTATGTATTTGTGAATAGATGTGTTGTATGTTTTGTAATGTGTTGTATCTTGTTCGTAACCCCTAAATAGGAGAAAGGAGACCTTGTTTATAGGAAAGTGAAATCAGACTGAATGTAGAAAATCCGGAGTCAGGGCTAAGTCGTCAAATGGTTGGACAACTTATAAGTTGCCAAACCGGATGACGACTTATAAGTCGCCCAATCGTTTGGTGACTTACCCCGACCATGATTAAACTCAGCGGTAGATCTATAAATATTTTTAAGTTTTAACACAATATTATTTTCGTAATTAATTAATTAATTAGCATTCATATCCAAAAAAAACTCAAGAAGAACTTTCGAATTTATACTTCATTTGACGATCATCAACGGATCAACATTCAGGATTTTTTTGGAAATGGCCACAAAGCTTCTTCCTCAGCTGTGTATAGCAACTTCTCATTCCCTATACTCCACGAATGCATTCCTTTCCAATTTCAAACAGGGGAGCTTCCGAACTTCAAACCGCATCAAAGTAAATGCCAATTTCCAGTTCAAGCCTTTGAACTTCTTATTCTCTGGTTCCTTGGCTCTCGCCATCTCTCTTTCCGGTTACTACTAATACTCCCTTTTATCTTTAAACCTCTTGCACATTGATCCTATAAATCACAAAGTATATTAATAGTCTGATTGTGAGCTCCAGGTAAGCTTATATCTTATTTGAATTAGTGCTAGTTTATTATCTCCTCGGCGTTGCCATTTTTTGTTGATGCTATTTAGTATTTTCACGTTTTGAATCAAGTTCTTACATGTTTTTTTTGCATTCGTGTTTATGGGAATTATCTTTCTCGGATTAGGTTGGTGTAAGTGAACAAACTGAAAATTTTGTAGAGGTTGCATTTGCCGAGGGAAAGATAGGAGTAAACAAGCGGGAGTTGCTGCCTGAGGAGTTTACCACTGTTATTGATGTTGCAGGATTTCTCTCTGATGGCCAGGTCTGATCTATAGCCCTGATGAATTGGGAATTCATCTCATAGTTTTTTTACAATCACAGTTTTATACTGGGAAAATTCCCGAAATAAGAGGAAATGAGTTTGAAAATTCCAAAATAAGACTGTCATATTTTTATTCCCAAAATAGGAGTAATTACTGCTAAGTTTGGAATATATTTGCCATGTTTAAAGTCTGTTATTGCCAAAACATGGCACTAATTAGTCCTATTTTGGGAATAAAAGCATGATAGTCCTATTTTGGAATATACGAACATTTTTAGTCCTGTTTATGGTCATTTCCCTACTTTTAATATATGCATTTTTTACTCCAACTATTGCTAGAGCTACACTTTAGAAATCTGTTTTAGAAGTCTTACGGTAAAATTTCATGTCTTTAGTCCCTTAACTATTGTGAGGATGACATTGGTTATATTAGTCATTTTTATTTTGCCACTATAATTGGAAAAAAATGTCACTATTACAATAAACAGATAATTAGAAGTTTTCGAAAATCTCAAGAATATATACCACAAAATCACAAATGTCTTTGTTACCATAGTAGTATGACTAGAGTGGAAAACTCATTCATCACATGTGTTCTTGTCATTTTTTATAATTTGGGTAAATGGCATATTTGGTTTTCAAACTTTTGCCTGTTTGGTCATTGAACTACAAGCTCTAACATTTTAACACCAAATCTTATATTAACTTATAGCATCACCATTATGAGCATTACTTTGGTATTAGCTAGTTTTAAATTTTAACTTTGGCAGATGTGCTTTTTAACTACTATTCCGTGTTAACTAGCTATAGTTTTTTAAGCAATCGTCCCGAAATGGATTTTATTAATATATATTTGTTAATTGTATTTTCAACGATGAATTTTGTGGTTACATGTCATGTAGTGCTTCTTATGATAGTTAATATAGCTACTAACTGCTAAATCTTATGTTTTGTGCATGTTTCAAGAACTCTTATGATCTGCGTAAACTACTCCCAATTCATGTCCTGTCAGGAACAAAATTGTAAATCTTCTTAAATGAGAAACAGAGAAAGGCCATAGTGATACAATTAGACTGGATTTATTTACACTTTGTTCATAAAATTTTATTTAGTATTAATACAGAAGTGTTTAAAAAATGTTCAAAGAAACTAAACAATGAAAGAAGTAATAGGTTGACCAATGGGCTACAATTTTGGACAGTCCGACAAATGGATACAAGTTCATATACAAATGCTGATGTGTAAAAAAACTCATCAGTTTTGTTGCTCAATGATATAAGATGACATAGAATGAGCGGTGGTGCTAACTGTTCAGCTAATTTACTCAATTTGCTTCATTAACAGTCTTCCATCTCCCTCTATAGTATCTACTAGCAAAGTTTTATACTCTTCACGCATACTGCATTTCATAAAATAAAATAAAGTGTTTTGCATATAAAGTGCAAGGAAAAATTATATAAAAAAATTACTCCGTATGTTGTTTATGATTTGTCTGCAGGAGAAACGACTTGCACAGGTGATCACAGATATAGAAAGAGATACTGGATTCAAGTTGAGAATTTTGGCTCAAAATTACCCCGATACACCAGGTGCATTTCTTGATGACTTAGCATTTGAAATTCACTAAAATATTTAGCAACGAGTCTGGAATTATCCTGCCAATGTCCACAGGATTAGCAATCAAGGACTTCTGGAAAGTGGATGACAAGACTATCGTCTTTGTTGCTGATCCTACTTTTGGTGAGGCAGCAAAAAATCAATCATTACCTATTGGTGTTGATCTACTTGATGACCAGGCAACTTTTCATACTAAATTTCAGCTTTGATTCTTTTGTGCTCTATCTGAACAGGAAATATACTGAACTTCAATGTTGGAGCTTCTGTGGATCTAGAAATACCACAGAGCTTTTGGAGCCGTTTGGCTGGGAAATATGGAAATATTTTTTACTGGAGAGAAAAGGTGAAATTATAATTTGCAATCTCTAGTATTTCTCCATAATCATTTCACTATCCTGATGGGTTAATGCTGAGCAGGGTGAAGATGCATCTATAGAATCTGCTGTTATGGCAATATCAACTTGCTTGAGAGAACCGGTTGGTGCAAATAATTGCTCTGAAGTAAAGTAATTCATCATTTTGCATCCATGTTAGTATATGAGGTACAAACATACTAAAGAATTACTTTGATGTCCTTGATGGGTCTTCTTTCTCTAGAAAATGTATGTATGAAGAGGATATAGATCTTTTCCTATACTGGACTGCCCCCTTTCCCCTTTTAATTTGTTGCGCTGAGAAATAACATTAAAGCATTTGCTTGAAATGTAATTGTGCTGTCTTGCTGTACCCCTGCTACTACTCATTTTCATTTATCATTCATTTTCATTTACCCCAGTGCCGCAAAGGCTCCCACCTACGGTGGGGTAAGGGGGGGTCGGATGTACGCAGTCTTACCCCTATACTAAAGCACAGAGAGACTGTTTCCGGATGACCCATAGTGAAAATCGCGTCCAAAATTGCATGGACTGACTGCTTCTCCATAACAAAGAAGCGCAGACAGTTTAGTGAGCCATTTTGCTTTATTCCATCATAATCTCAAGCCAAACAATAATGTACCACTGCTACTACTAAATGAGCTTATTTGTTTTCAACTTTTGTGCTTGCTTTTGCACCGAGGAATTAGTGGCGGAGCCAGGAATGTATTGTTAGGGGGATCCGGGGCTTGGAAATTTTATATTGTGGGGGACAAAGTTTAAAACATCAATATATTTATTTACAAATTGTAAATATTTACACATATATATACATAAAAAATTTTCTTGACGGCCGAGGCTCCCTCCGTCCCCTCCCATCACCACCATTGCGAGAATACTACCTTTGTCGCCTCACGTTGCTTTCTGCATCAAAGGGGCGCTTTGTTTTGCGTTCTTAGAATCTAACTGATGTCACTTAAGCGCAGCTTTCGCTTTAAAAAGCCTCAAGCTGGGGTTGTGACGATGACATCAACGCTAACAGTAACAATAGTAGGATTGTTGAGTTGGTGACAACAGTTGTAGCTGTTGACTATAATACCTTTTGTGGTAATAGTGTTGATGAGGTGGTGATTGCAACTCTGGTAACAGTATAGATGGCGGCCTAGGTGGCCATGTGGAATGGTGGTGGCAGTGATAGTTGTGTGGTGGTGGGTAGGGCTGGTTACTGAGCTCCTGATGCTGGGGATGAATTCCTAGGAGTATGCTCTCATAGGTGTAGCTATAGTGAAAGATAATTACAACCTCTTCCCAAAAATAGATTGTTTTGAGAATTGATATAAAACTTACTCTCCGTATTATTTAATATATGTTGCAAGTTCATTGTGACCCCTAATTCTATTGCTATAATAGATTGCGTGTGTGAGTATGCTTATTGTCTTTCAATGCAGATTTTCAACTAGCTTCATGTGTCATAATTTATAAGAAAAAACATAGTTTCCTGGGACATCTCAGAGCCCCCAATTTGGTTTCTATTTCTTTTTATATCTTGAGAGCGTGAATTTTGTACTATAATGACAGACTTGTGGAAAGGCTGACTTCTTTTGCAGACTGTGTTTCATTCTCTATATATGTGCTTGCTTTTGCACCGAGGAATTAGTGGCGGAGCCAGGAATGTATTGTTAGGGGGATCCGGGGCTTGGAAATTTTATATTGTGGGGGCCAAAGTTTAAAACATCAATATATTTATTTACAAATTGTAAATATTTACACATATTGATAGAAACACTCCCACTCCCTAACATATATATACATAAAAAAATTTCTTGGGGGCCGAGGCTCCCTCCATCCCCTCCCATCACCACCACTGCGAGAATACTACCTTTGTCGCCTCACGTTGCTTTCTGCATCAAAGGGGCGCTTTGTTTTACGTTCTTAGAATCTAACTGATGTCACTTAAGTGCAGCTTTCGCTTTAAAAAGCCTCAAGCTGGGGTTGTGACGATGACATCAACGCTAACAGTAACAATAGTAGGATTGTTGAGTTGGTGACAATAGTTGTAGCTGTTGACTATAATACCTTTGGTTGTAATAGTAGTGTTGATGAGGTGGTGATTGCAACTCTGGTAACAGTATAGATGGTGGCCTAGCCCATGTGGAATGGTGGTGGCAGTGATAGTTGTGTGGTGGTGGGTAGGGCTGGTTACTGAGCTCCTGATGCACTGGGGATGAACTCCTAGGAGTATGCTCTCATAGGTGTAGCTATAGTGAAAGATAATTACAACCTCTTCCCAAACATAGATTGTTTTGAGAATTGATATAAAACTTTCCGTATTATTTAATATATGTTGCAAGTTCATTGTGACCCCTAATTCTATTGCTATAATAGTTTGTGTGTGTGAGTATGCTTATTGTCTTTCAATGCAGATTTTCAACTAGCTTCATGTGTCATAATTTATAAGAAAAAACATAGTTTCTTGGGACATCTCAGAGCCCCCAATTTGGTTTCTATTTCTTTTTATACCTTGAGAGCATGAATTTTGTACTATAATGACAGACTTGTGGAAAGGCTGACTTCTTTTGCAGACTGTGTTTCATTCTCTATATTTTTTGATACGGTAGTAGCACATCAGTCTGGGACGGATCGTAGTAGAGACCCAGGGGGCTACCGCTTCCAACAATTTTTTTTAGTGTGTATATATACGATTTTTTTTACCCTCCTTAACAAATAATATTCGCCCCACCAAAAAAAAAATTGAACACCCCCAAAATTCGCCCCCAAAACACAGCCACCCGTAGAAATCCAATTGTTTAAAAGCCTAAAAAAATACTTCCTTCGTCCCCCAATTAAGTTCACGGTTTGACTTCACACGTATTAAGAAAATAAATTTGACTTTACTGTGGAGTGCATTGTTTTGCACTGTTCAAACACTGTTTGACACTGTTTGGCACTGTTTAGTACTGTTTGACACTGTTTTAATTGGGCCTGGGATTGGTTCGGTTCTCGTTAAAATTTGATGGAACCGTATAAAAATCGTAGATCTTAAATTCGGTTCGGTTCTAGTTAAAAATGTAGTGATTAGATTCGGTTCGGTTCTAGTTAAATTCGATTCGGTTCTTACCTTTTTTCGGTTCTTTATAAAAATTTATTATCCTCCTAAAATTAGGGATGGATTCGGTTCGGGCCACCCGGCCCGTGACCTGGCCTGGCCCGGTACTGTGCGGGTCCGGGATCGGCCCGGTCTGGCAGTTCGGGACGGGGTGTGGACCCGAACTGGTGGGGGAAGCGGGGACGGGCTCGGTTCCTGCAAAATGTGACCCGGCCCGAGTCCGGGTCACAACGGCTATATATCCGTTGGGTGGGCTGCAGGGAGGGTCCGGGGGGTTTGGGGGGTGGGTGGGGGGTGGGGGGGGTGGGGTAAAAAAAACCTATAAATATTCTTATTCTTAAACATTTTTCCATATCTCTTCTCCAATTCTTCCTGAATCCTACTCTTAACTCATCACTCTCTAATTCTCTTATTCTCCAATATATTATATTTATATATCTACTTTATATTAGTTATCTACTTATAATTTATAAATACTTACATTATATTACTTATATTTCTTATCTAATTATATACTCCGTATTACTTATACATTTATTATATCTATTAATGTAGTTGGAATTATATCTAATTAATTTGAAGTCATTCTATTACTCCCATCCGAAAGACCGAAAGTCCGAAAGAGGTACGAAATCATTCTATTATTTACACTTGTTTAATTTTGTATTAACATTACTTGAAAAAAAAACTAGTTAATTCTCATTATAGTTAAAGTTAAACTATAATAATTTGATTGTAAGTAAAAAAAACAAGTAGTACAAAAAACTAGTTGATTAGTTAATTAGTTTTCACATGAATTGTTTGATTTTTCATTACAGTAGTTAATTACTTTATTACAATTTTTTATTAATTGCTACCTTTGACCCTAGTTTAAAAAACTAGTTAATTCTCATTATAGTTAAAGTTAAACTATATTAATTTGATTGTTAGTAAAAAAAATAGGTTGTACACAAAACTAGTTAATTCACTAGTTAATTTGACTATTTATTAAACAATTGTAAGGTTACAAAATTATTTTGCAAACTTTGATGGGCGTGTTACTGTATGTTCTGACATATGAGAGGATACTTATCATAATTTACATTATTTGGGTCTGACTGTACATTATATTGATAATGATTGGCATATGCATAAACGTGTTCTTGCTTTCTGTGAATTTAATGACCGTCACATCGCTGAACATATTTATATTTTGATTGAGCGTATTTTAATTGAGTATAATTTAATTGATAAAGTGTTTGCTATTGGTTTTGATAATGCTACTAATAATACTGCTGCTATTCCTAGGCTGCGTGAATTGTGTGGTTATACTTCTTTGATGGGTAGATTTTTTCATCAACGATGTGCATGTCATGTTCTAAATTTATGTGTGCAAGATGGTCTAAAAGCGCTGGGAGCATCTTTGGAGGTAGTCAAGGGGAGAATTAGACGTATTTGGGGTAATGGACAACTTAGAAAAAAATGGCATGATTAATTGATAGAAAGAGGTGAGAAATATGTGGCTTTTCCTAAAGATTTGTCTATTTGTTGGAATAGTACTTATAAGTTAATTGGAGTACTTCTTAGATATAAACAACATTTTCCTGCTTTTATGAAACAATATGATAACTATATTATAAACTCGGCTGAGATCGACACCTGTGAAAAAATTTGTAATACTTTGATATATTTTAATGATGCAACTGAAACGTTTAGTCATGTTTATAAACCTACCTCAAACCAATTTATTCGTGAAGCTGTTAATATCGCCGCTGCTTTTTCAAATTTTGAGAATGCTGATTATGTGAGTTATTTTGCTAGTTTTATGAAGGAAAAGTTTTTAAAATATTATTCACATATTCCGCATATTTATGGTATTGCATTTGTTCTCGATCCTCGTTTTAGACTTGGTTCTTTAGAAGAATGTTTGAATTATTATTATGCTGTTTTTTTTGGTCCAAAGTCAATGTATGAGGACAACCCAATTGATCCGAAAAAAGAATACATCGAGGTTAGTGATATATTTTATGCATTATTTAATGAGCTCCATGCACAATATGGCAATGCACCCCCTCCCCCGACACAAACATCATCTAAAGGAAAATCAATTTTCAAATCTACATTTGCCAATCTTATTAAAAAAATGAAATCAACTCCCGCTACGCAACAAAGCACAATTAATGAGATTTCTTTGTATTTAACATATGATGTTGATTTTGAAGAAGATGATGATTTTGACGTACTAAACTGGTGGAAGGGAAAAGAAAGATTGTTCCCGGTTTTAGCAAAGATGGCTAAGCAAGTGCTATCAATGCCGGTTTCAACAGTTGCCGTGGAACAAGAAATTAATTCGGACGATAATGTCCTAACGCAATGTAGAACGAGGTTGAGCGCAGAATCTTTTGAGATGCTAATATGCTACCACGATTGGTTGAAAGCAGTCCGTAGAGCTCAAGAAATTGACTTCACCCCATTCCAACACTTTATGGATGAATCTACAACCGAGGGTGACTCTACCTATGTCGAAGATTCCGATTGATTAGTATTTCATGTTTTAATTTTATCTTCAATTCTCAATTGTAACTTGTAAACTTGTAGTTCATATTTCAAATAAATATACGTTCATTTTTTTATATGTAGCATTTTTTACTGAATTCATAAAATTAATTAATTAATTTTACATTATGTAATTTATTCAAACTAAAACATACAAAAAAAATTGATATCAAAAGCCCCAAACGGCTATATAGCCGTTGGGCACTTTGGTAGTTTGGTTGTTTGAAATTTGAATCAATAGAGGCATAGAGCCGTTGGGGGGTGGGGGGGGGGGGGTGGGAGTACAAAAAATTCTATAAATACTCTTATTTTCTAACATTTTTATACACATCTTCTCCAACATCCAATCTCTAATCTCCATTCTCCATCTATTGTAGAATTATTATATCTACCATTTTTAAGATGGAAAGTCAATATGCCGTTATACGGTATAATTTTGATAAGCAGAAGGACCCGAGGACCGGGATGTGATACGCAACTTGCAAATGGTGCGGGGAAAAGTGTAGCATAGGGGTTTCAGGCGGATACAGGATGACAATGAAGCATATTAAGTCATGTGACAAAATGTATTTCATATTGTATGTTTCTCTTAATTGTCAAATGTAGTTCCTATTTCATTTCAAATAAATGCACTTGAAGTTTGTTTTTAATACTTGTATAAAACTATAAAGTATAAATTATATATAAAAAAAATTGGTTTTAAACGGCCCGGCCCCGCGGGTGGCCCGACCCATGACCCGGGCGGGTGGCCCAGCCCGAACCGGACCCGTCCAAACCTTGGGTCGGTCCCGGGTCCATGAGTTACAAACCGGCGACCCGACCAGGCCTAGGCCCGACCCAGGCCCGACCCGACCCCGCCCGAGTCCATGTCTACCTAAAATGAACACATTTTACCTTCAGTTACATAAAAAAATTCAAATTTTAATTTATGAAATTATGACCATTACATTATACATGCATGATATCTCAATGTTCAAATAAAAAAATGCTAAGTGCAACATTAAATTTAAACATAACAAAAATCTCAATTTAAAATATGCATTAACTAACAAGCAAAAAGGTTCAATAGCTCTTCAGTACACATCTAATAGCAAGTAGTTTTACCTCAAAATAATATTCTTTTACAAGTAATACACAATAAGTAAAAAGTATGTAGTACGGAGTAATAAACAATGCAATCAACAGAATGTTAATTCCTTTTTGAGGTTAACTCCAATAACAAAAACAATTACAAACAAACAATAAATATATAAGTGGGCTAAAGAATTAAAATAATAACTACTCGGATCGGCCTGATCCACGATATATAAGATATATTATGCAAAACAAATATTTTTCAAGGTGCTTCTGTGTAGAACTTTTTGATAAATTTTTGTGAGCATGTTCTACATGAAATGTAGATCATATATACCAAATTTTAGCTTAAAATTCAATCAGGAAGTTAGTTAAATAAATTATTGAAAAACATTGTATTTTTTTATATATTTTGGCGTAATGTTATTCAATAATTTATTTAACTGATTTACCAGTTGCATCTTTAGTTCAAATTTGGTGGACAGAATCATTATTTCATGAACAACAAGCTCATAAAATTTCATCAAAAAATTTCATGCAGAAGTACCTCAAATGAAGATTACTCGTGTAATGTATAAGAAGTTCGGTTCCTAGCTAGGAACCGGAACTGAACTGGAACCGAACCGGAACCGAACCGATGTTATACAATAGGAACCGAACCGAAAAAGGCTGAAGTCCAAAATTATAGGAACCGAACCGAACCAGAAATTTCGGTTCGATTCGGATCGGTTTTCCCGGTTTTACGGTTCCAAGTCCCAGCCCTAGTTTTGATGTAGATAATTTGTCAAATAAGGAAAGTAAGGAAGTGTGAACTTAATTTAGGTACTACCCTAAATGGAGAGTGATAACTTAATTGTGGGACGGTGGGATAGAAAATATGGAAACAATATTATTTGAGTCAACCCCATTATTTATTCCCAGCCCACCACAAAAGAGCCCAGCCCACTGCCTATCCTCCTGAGCACAACGGGGCTTAATTATTTCCCCAGTTCCGCCGATTCGCCAATCGCCGAAGAACAAAAGAAGCCGAGAAGCCGAGTCGCCGAGAACGGAGAACGCTACCTCGCAAAGCCACCAGCCAAGCCTTGTTCCGCCGACCTCCGTCCACACCGTTCTTCCGCCGTCCACTTTCCACGCCGACACGCCGTGCTCGGTGCTTCTCTCTGGCTCTGCCTCCAAGCTCCAGCTATGGCGCAGGTCAGTTAGAGCATTTTTACTTTTTAGACTTTTTCTCTCTTATTTTGTGATGATTGTGTTAATTTGTGTTATAATTTTTAGCCTTTTAGAGTGTTAGGGTTAGATGGTTAGTCCTTAAATAATCAATTTTATCAATTTTAGATGGTCTTGTCTTTGTGTATTTCTTTTATTTTCAGTATTTTGAAGTAGTTTTTTCATTTCTTTGTGAAGGATATAATGAATAACTGAAAGATGAAGAAGCAGACAAGCATTTACTCTCATTTTAAGAGAAAAACTGTGGATTCGAGTTGTAGTCCGAGTAATCCAGTCGATGCGGAAACTGCAAATGTGGAAGTTACTAATACTTCCAAATATTTGGGTTGTTCTAGTCTTTCATTTGATATCAAGAATCTAGAACGTGATCCTGGAAAACGCCCTCAGATATGGGAATATCCTCTCAATAAAAAAGACTCTGGTTGGTTTCCCGACACTACCTTATTTGACAATGTCTTCACTGTCTACATTTAGATTGATGTTTTATCTGTAAAAATTTAATCTTTTTATTTCATGTTTTTTGTGTTAACTTGATTTTACTATTTTTCTCTATATTACCACTTATTTCTAATTTTGGAGTTGTTTGGGGCTACTTTTCATTTCTAACTCTTGAGTTAATTTGAAGTAAATTTAAAATTGGTTCATGTTGTCTCAGAGGCATGATTGGTTCTGGCTAAATACTGAAAATTTATTTCTTTTCATCTCTTCTAGTAAAGGTCATTGGAAAACTGAATTATTCCTAGGATTGATCAGTATAGAAAGAAATAATGGCCACGGCGGTCACGGCGGCCACAAAAGTTGGAATCTTGACGACCAAAGGGTTAGAAGATATGTTGATGCTAGTATTGAGAAACTGTAAGAACGTGGACACCATGAAGAAGATACATTCCCAAATGGTGAAATTCTCGCTAACGCATAGCAATTTCTTGGTAACAAAAATGATAGACTTTTGTGAGAAAAATGGGGATATCGACTATGCTTGTTTGCTATTCAAGCAAGTTCAAGAGCCAAACATATATCTGTTCAATTCTATAATCCGAGCCTACACGCAGAATAAGATGTATGGATCCTGCATAGATATGTACACGCAGCTGCTGTTGAGGAGACAAGCCGCCGAGAGTGAAGAACCAGTTTCTCCAGATTCATACACATACCCATTTGTTATCAGGTCGTGCGGAGGTCTTACCTGCGCAGATATCGGTAAGCAATTGCATGGACATGTGTTTAAATTCGGGCTGGACTCCAATCACGTGATACAAAACTCGTTGCTAGACATGTACGTCAAGTGTTGTGGTGAAGACAGCATAACAGAAGCGCAGAACTTGTTCGATGAAATGACTGTTAGAGATGTAATTTCTTGGAACAGTCTCATTTCCGGGTACGTAAAGTCCGGTAAGGTTAAAAGGGCAAATGTGTTGTTCGAAGAGATGCCGGAGAAGAGCATTGTTTCTTGGACAGCCATGATTTCAGGTTACACTAAGATGGGATGTTACAGAGAAGCATTAAATGTTTTCAGAAGGATGCAGACGGTTGGCGGGCTGGAACCAGACTGGGTCTGTTTAGTTGCAGTCTTGTCGGGGTGTGCACACCTGGGGGCGCTCGAGGTAGGAGAATGGGTTCACTTCTACGCAGCTAAAAAGGGATTCTTACGGAAGACACGTGTGTGCAACACGTTGATGGAAATGTACGCGAAGTGCGGTCACGTGGACGGAGCTCTGGAAGTGTTTGATCAGATGCCATCATCCGAAAGGGATGTGATCTCATGGAGCACTATGATTGTGGGTCTGGCAAATCATGGAAGGGCCCACGATGCCATCACACTGTTCAAACGGATGGATGTCTTGCCGAACGAGATCACATTCGTTGGGCTGTTATCGGCCTGCGGGCACGCTGGGCTTGTGGACGACGGTTTGAGGTACTTTGACTCCATGCGAGACGACTATGACATTACCCCAGAAATCGAACATTACGGATGTCTCGTTGATCTTCTTGCGAGAACGGGAAACCAGAAACGTGCCCTGGATATCATAAACCGGATGCCAATGAAGGCGGACTCCGCAATATGGGGTTCGGTGTTGAGTTCCTGCAGAAGTGCTCGGGACGTTGAGACAGCAGTGGTCGCGGCGGAGCATTTGGCGGAGCTCGAACCGGATGATACCGGAAACTATGTGCTTCTGACGAATGTGTATGCAGATTTGGGGAAGTGGGACTATGTGTCAATGATGAGGAGATTCATGAGGAGGAGGAGGATGAAGAAGACGCCAGGGTGCAGTCTGATTGAGTTGAACGGTTTGGTCCATGAATTCCTTTCAGGTGATGATTCAATGCCGTTTTCGAACGATATATGTCAAGTTCTACACCAGCTTTTGACGTTGCACACATCTGATGATGAGGATGAAGTTTACGTTTTTCTTTAACACGGAGGAGGTACTATGTGCTTTGTTTATTACTCGTAATTCTATCGCCAAGTTAGCAGAGGTCCGTACTTACCCAATGGAGAAAGAGGCTGGCTGGACAATGCATGTGCATGGCATACCAGAAATGAGTTTTTTTCTTGGTGTAGCCTCGAGATATTTGGTGATTTCAAGCAAGTGCTGCATGTTTGATACAATGTGGATTTCTGGGTGGCTTGAGAACCAAATTCTGCCACGAAGAGTTTTAACTTGTAAGAGTAGGTAGATGCAAGTTTATAGGTGGTTGTAGAGATTCACGAGAATAGTAGGTATATATTCATATTCGTACTTGCTTAGTCAATTTTTACTTTTAACTTCCTGTTTTACTTCCCAAGTTTGCCCTACTTCTTTTTGTTCGCTTATTTCTCTAAAGAAATGTTTTGTCTCTCTGTCACAGTACATTGCCCGGACATGGAATTACTCGCAAGAGAAGAAGAAAACATACTATTGAATGAAAAGTTCCTCTGAAAAGTTTACATATAATATTATAATTGCAAGTGTTTGCCTTTTCAAAAGCTTCGCGAAGGGGTATTTATTTGTGGATCTGTCTATGAAGAAGAAAACTTGGTTTTAGGAGTGATTTTTTTGTCTGGTGTTATGAACCATAACGGCAAATATTGCATTTTGGAAATATTTTACTTGTGTGTAATTTATTGTTATTAAGAATATTCCTTTATTATTATGCTTGCTTATACCAGTTGTCAACTACATTCTTATATTCCCCTTGGAGTGATCGTACCAAGTTACTTGTTACATTTTGAGGAACTCTGTCGTAAGAAAATTAAGGGTCTGTTTACTAACAAAGATATTTTCTTGTATTCTACTTTTGTTTTTCTTTCTCCAATTTTCGGTTTTTATTTTTCAGTTTTTCTATCTCCAGTTTTCTGTCTCTATTTTCTAGTTTTTAAATCTGAAAACATGTTCATCAATTTTTTCACTCAGTTCTGTGATCATCCAGAAGACTGACACGTTTATTTCACGGATTACTAAATGGTGCTTATTAAGACTCGTGTTAATAAGCGATGCATAAAATAAACAATGTTATAAGATCATGTTAGGGTGGGGGTAGGGAAGGAAGGTATGGATGAGGTGGGGGTGGGGTATGGTTGTGGGTGGGGTGGTAAGATCTAGGGGTACGGGGTTGGGTGGGTAGTGGGTGGGTTAGGGTGGTGGTTAGGGGTAAGGGTGGGGGTAGTGAGTAGGGTTGGGGTAAGGTAGGGGTAGGGTAGGGAGTTGGGATAGGATTGTGGTAGGGTGGGGCCGAGGTAGGGGAAGGGGTAGGGTGGGGGGTAGGATGGCAGTAGGATGGGGTAGGATGGTGGTACGAGGGTGGGGGTAAGATGGCGGTAGGGTGGGGCCGAGGTAGGGGGCATGTGGGAAGGGGTAAGGTAGGAGTAAGGGGTAATATACGAGGTGGGGGTAGGGTAGGGTGGGTTAGGGTGGGTTGAAGTGGTAAGGGGTGGCGGTAGGGTAGGGTGGATCGAGGTGGGACCGAGGTAGGGGCATTTGGTAGGGGGTCAGGGTAGGGTTATTGTAGGGAAAAGGGGTATGCGGGGTGGGGTTGGGGTGAGTAGGGTAGGGTAGGGGTAAGGTATGAGGATGGAGGTACTAGAATGAAATCGACATCGGAGCGAGACCGGACCCACCACTAGGTGTAAGTATGCAAATTCATTGTAGCGGCCTGTAGCATCTGTGTTCTCCAAATTTGGAAAACTAGTAAAAGTCACTTGTCCAAATCATTAAGGAAAAGAGAAACATGTCTCATTTTTTTTGTTTTAGAAAACTGTTTGGTAAACACATTTTTCTGTTTTCCTTTCTCCAGTTTTCCAACAATTTTCTTTGGTAAACACGTTTCCTGTTTTCTGTTTTCTAGTTTTCCAGTTTTCTGAAAAACTGGACAATATCTTTGTTAGTAAACAGGCTCTTTAAACATTGAGATAATCATTATTACATTTGACAATACTATTAAAGAATGAATCTTAGGTTATTCAATGGTCGTGTACTTCATGGTTTTTAAACAATCTATTAAAGTCATTGAAGATTGATCTAACAATCCTAAATATGTAATTTATTGGTCTAATGCTCACTAAAACATGTGTATTGTTTCTGTTATGTAGATTATTCTCAATATTGTTTTTAAGGCATTAATTAAATTCTATGGAGTATTAAATTCAATATATAATTTATTCAAAAGTTTCTTTTTCAAACAAACATAAAAGTAGTGAAATTTACAAAAAAAAAACAATATTCATGATGCGTAAAATGATGGCTAGTTTGGTATAGGGGTGGGCCTGCTGGTGGTCTTGGACTAGGACCGGGATTGTTCTGGTCCAGATCGGGACCGGGATCGGTTTTTCAGTTCCGGTGCAAAATTGGGTATCCGGCGGGTCTAATCTCGGGTCAAAGAAATGGGGACCAGACCGGGCGTCCCGGACTCCCAGTCCCAGCTCCGATCCCATTAACTAATTCTTTTTTTAATTAAAGAGGTGGGTCCGAACCGGATCGTTTCTGGTCTTCATATTTGGGACTCGGGACCGGCTGGTTCGGGACCAAAATCGGGACCTGGGATTGGGTCCGAGTCCAGTGTCCACCCCTAGTTTGGTATGGTTTGCTGTTAAGTGAAGCGACGGCTAAGCTCATCCATCAGTTTCCCAATTTGGAATGTTGGAACCTTGGAGGTAATAAGAGTATTGTTGTTACTCACTTATATGGTCGAACATATAATCGAACATAAGGGCATCTCCTTCAATTCATGGCGGATGTTATCATCACGATGGGTTGGCTTCTCGAAAATATTGAGATTTGGTAGAATATATTTAATTGATGCCAAAAAAATTCAGGGCAATTGAATTTGTTAAAATATGTTACTACGTATTTTATTTATTAATCATTAAATATAATATTTGTTTAGTTCTTGTCTTAATTCTAGAAAGTTAATGTTTGGTACTAGATTTACAATGGTTTTTATGATGTTGATATTTGATATTTATGATTTAATTAAATGAAACATTTATATATGTACACACTTAAGTTTCTTGTGATAATACTGATATATTGATATTTAAATCGTAATTTACATTTTTGCTTGTTGTTAGATGCCAATGATATATTATTTTTATACTATTAGTTTCTTTTGTTTGTTATCACACGATGTCTTATTTCAGAAGAAATATGCATTCACCTAAACTATATCATACATAACATATAATTATTCATTTATTTCCAAACAACTAAGCACAAAATGTGAAACTTTAGAGCATATATATCCTTGTCTTAAAAAAAGTAAAAACTTAAGCACAAGTGTTTTTTCAATCACTTTCTAAAATCTGCTTATTTAGCTCAGTTGTTTTGTTAAAGCCTTTTTTTCATCATTTGCAATAGAACCAAAGATTCACTATTTTTTGACTTGAGAATATGATGGAATAAAGCAAAATGACTCATTAAACTGTCTGCGCTTCTTTATTGTGAAACAACAGTCAGTCCATGTATTATTCGACGCGATTTTCACTATGTGTCATTCGGAAACAGCCTTTATGTGCTTTAGTACATGGGTAAGACTGCGTACATTCGAATCCTCTTACCCCACCGTAGGTGAGAGCCTTTGCGGCACTGGGGTAATGATGATGATGTTTTGTTAAAGCTTTTTTTCATAAATGTGGCTGATGCTTGTGTTATAATTATTGGAACTGCAATTTTTGGTTTCTATGATCTAGAGTAGTACAGAGCAATGTGTGATCGATAGAATCGTAGAAGAGAAGTGCTTCACCAAAATGTAAGTTTATCGGGAGATTTCACAAAATAGGAGTAAATGGAATTTAGAATTCCAAAATAAGACTACTATGTTTTTATTCCTGAAATAGAACTAACATGACAATATTTACTGTCATCTTGTATGCGTGACTGCCAAATAATTGTAGTACAGTGCATTTAACATGGACATATTTATTATAAATAATGATATTATTTTTTAATCATGACAATATTTTTCATACATGACAGTAACAACTCCTATTTTGAGAAGAAAAACATAGTAGTACTATTTTGGAATTTCAAACCTCATTTACTCCTACTTAGGGCAATTTCCCTAGTTTATTTCCTTTTTCTTTTTACAATTTACATTTGGTCTGGGAAAACATGGGCAAGAATTTTCTCTTTTCAACATGAAAAGAGAGAAATGAGAAAATTCATTCCCAACTACCAATTTTTCAACCCCAATCTTAGAGGAATTTAAATTATGATGGGTGCTAGTTTTACTTTTAAACTTGAAAGTAAGAAAAATTAGAGCTCGTTTACCATCTGCTTAATGCAATGAGGTCCTCAATCGGTCAACCCTGGGAAATCTAGAAGTAGGGCCAGGTATAAGACTCGAAACATGTTCTAGGCAATGCCGTTATTGCTTATGGACAACAACAATATTCTAAGGAAATCATGCTCACATTAAATACATCCCGAGGATGTCAAGTCATTTTATACAACACTTTTGCTACAGCAGCAATTCATCACACTAGGCGTTCAATATATAGAATATACGAAGTGTATATTTGTGTTAACAAGATTTGGGCGCATAAAACCATTCTATTCTGTTGATGATTCTGAGGAAGTGTCATCGTCCTTCTTTGTTGCAGTAGCCTCCACCTGCTTGTATGCCTTGCAGATTTCTTCCACAGGAATCAATGGAGCATAGCTGAATATATCATAGCCCTTTGCTTTCATATCTTTAACCAGTTTGTTATACTTCTCAGAACTGTGAGCAGCCATTGAAGCAGCGACAACTGCTACACCATGCAAGGTTGGGGAAAGATTCACATGGTACCATATCACTGCCAACTGATTCACTCCAAACTGCTTTGACATCTGACCTGCATGGTTGATAGCTGCTCGGGGACCAGCCAGACGAGCTTCTTCAATCAAATCTTGAGCCACATGAGATACACTCACGACAATAATTTGGGCTTGATTCACGAGTGTCTTGACCATAGGCGGTGCACGTTCATTAAATGTCTCAGTTGCTGCATCCACCTGACAAAAAGACATGGTATGCAACAGAAAAATCAATGAAAATGGCTAATGCCATAATCTGCATGTGAGATGAGATCTTTTATTGTGAAAAAAATCTTCAATTGATGCGTTGTGTATTTACTGATTGTAATTCACGATTATTATGGAGGAGAAATACACAGCAGTCATTTGAAGGTTTGAAATCCAGAATGCAATATTAGAAGGTGGAGTAAATTTTTGGTGCAGATGATCTCATTCCCCACATCATGCAGGAATAGAGCACATTGAAAAAGCAAACAGATAATCTGGATTCTGGACAGGTTCATACACAAACATGTTTGGCTTCCATCGGAAATTTGGAAGTTTAGAACCACTAAGATGATCGACGCCGGTTATAGCCATACAACATAATAATATGATAATATAAACTTAAACTTATATGCCACCTCCGCCCGCATTACGAACAAAGTCATGTCAGACCGAGATACAAACATTATAAGTCACTAGTATGAATCAGTTCTGTTTATAAATTTCATATTTAAATAAAATTAACTTCACATGTTCATATCCTTTAGGAAAACAAGATAAAAATAAAATAGCTTTGTTTGAAATATTACTCTTTTTTGGTAAGAAGGATTTTAAAACAAAACCTTTTTTTGCGGAGATGATGAATTTTGGTCATAAGAAGACCTCACAAATTAAACAAATAAAATATTCATGTGGATCATCTATTTTATAAGGTTAAGCTTAGGGCACACCATACAAACTCCTCTAC